AGTGAGTTCATTTGAGGGCTGTCTCAATCTGACCCCGCACTGAATTTGCACAGCTGATCCTGGGTATTATAACCAGGTGGTGAGCTCAGGGCTGTGTGTGAACCTGTGATTCCTCAGGCTGCAAGTGAGGGACCTGTGCTCGGGAAAAGAGCCGTGCTCTTGTCCTTTCTGGTAGACAGAAGGCACTGGAATCAGGGAATCTTTTTCTAAGATAATTCTTTCCAATGTGCTTAGTCTCCTGACCATTTTGGTAGCCCTTTGCTAACACATCTCTAATTTGATTATGTATCCATTGAGTCAGAGGGCCCATGACTGCCCACTGCTTGCATTGCTACTTCCTCAAGCCAAGTGGAAAGCATTAATAATTTCCCTGGATCTGTGTTCCTCTTTTTGTAGCCTGGAGTGAGGTTTTTGGGCTTATTTGCAAAAATGGTTTTGGGCTTATTTGCTGCTTGGCTTCCATTGTAACCGGTTTTTGGTGGGATTACCAGATGCTCAGTTCCCAGGGCTTGGGAATGCTCTGCCATGGGAATGCTCTTGCACTGCTCTTCATTTGTCTGGACCACTGCAGTGTTTTCTGTCTCAAGCTTGCCTTAAGTTACTCCAGCCAGTTTATTGGCCATGCAAGATGGCCAATTTAAATTCCACAGCATGAAAGTTGTTCCCTGCCTGCACCACAAAGACAAGATCAGGAGAAGGCCTTTTGCCAAAAGAGCCTGTTTGAAGACTCCCTTCACCTTCCTAGTTTCCTACAGAACTGATCTCTGGATGAATGAAGTGTTCATTTTAAGTATTTTATTTTGTGTTGCATGTGGTTTCTGTCTGACTTTGTTCTGAGTAGGCTGTTCAAATAGTTCTCAGATATTTAAAGTTATTATTTTACTTTAAAAGGAGGAACACCTCCTGTATGATTTGCTGGAGATGTTTCCTGCAAGAGACTTAGTGCTTCTTGAATCGTGGCACTGAGTGCAGGCAGTCCAAGGGGACTTCAGTCCATCATTCCCAGGTTGAGTTTATTAGCTGCCTTATCCATACTCTCTTGAGGTTGTGTCATCTTCCTCATTAATCTGAGGTACTTTATTATTATTATTATTATTATTATTAATTTTTATTGCCTTGCTTACAGACTCTTTGCACTACTCTTCTCATGTCAGGTTTAGGTTTTACTTCAATTTGACCTTCATTTCAGGATAATCATCCCCATCAGGCTAGTGGACATGTACTCTGTCCCTCTGCCATGTGCATCTATTAGAATATTGATTTGCAGAGAGGGAAGTATAAAAAATCAATGTGCCATTAAGTGGAGTAGAATGACAATCTTCTAAGGCTTGTCAAGTTCAAAGACTTGTGTCTAGACACTAAGGGAGTGAGTTTTTGCCCAAGTGGTCTTGGCTAGGCAGGTAAGATAAAACGTACACATCGTCTTAGGGGCTTGCTCTCATTTGTTCCTGACTGGAAGACTCATTGCAAACAACAACACTTACAAAGTATTGGTGGCGCAAAAAGGTTCTCTTTATTATGACACTTGCAGTTTATTGTTTTTTAGTAATAAAACAGTAGACTATAAATGTTCTACAGTGCATTTAGGAAGGATACATAGACATGTGCAATCTGGCGTTGCACATCAGTGTTTGCCACAAGTGCTGAGAGAACAGTGGAAGGACCAAGTGTAAAGCTTTTTATTTTTGTGTGTCGATGAGATGCCTCCTACATGCAGGGGATGAGTGCAGCTCCCCTGCCTGCCCTCCTGTTCTCGACACAGTAGTCTGCCATTTGAAGATGGAGACTCAAAACACAGGTATTTTGCTTTGTTCCATTGCTTGTATTTGAACCATTCTCAGACCAGTCTGTGGTTATTTTAAGATATGCTATTTGTGCTCCAGCACTGTCCACAACCACCGGGCTGATCATGGGTGTGATGCCCCTCCATGCACTGGGTTGCTGTTGCTGTCTATTAAAAAATAATACATTAATACTCTAGACTAATTGCTTAGCTAGGAAACTAGGTTTTATCCATTTACAGCTCATTTAGTTGATGTTTTATAGCTTGTAAAGTACATTACAGTACTTCATGGGCTGAGAATTTGGAATAGTGAGAAACTGCAGTCTCTGCAGTGAGGCTGGCATGCTGCCTGCTTGCTGCAAGGCTCAGCTCATGATTCCCCAGTCACACCTGGCCCTCCCCAGCTTTGGAAGCAGGAATTCTGAGGGTCAGTCCTGAGCCTGGGGCTCCTGCCTGCTGGAACTGTCTCCTGCCTAGTACTAATTAGCTGGCTAAATCTTCCATAAGAAAACGGATGCTGGAAAATCTTCCATAAGTAAATTTCTGGTAATCATGTTTGTAAATCCATAGAAGGAGAAGCTGAAGATCAGTTTATTTAAGTATGCCTTGGCTGCATAGAGAGAGTGACCTTGGAGAATGCTGTGTTTGAATAACATAGTTTATCAAAATATCTCAGGGCTTTGCAGAAATAGATTAACTTTGTTTTCTTTCTTATACAGATAAGAAAACTGACACAGAAACACATGAAATGAGTTAACCAGTGGTTGAACTATTGTTCTTGGTTATCACAGGGCTCTGCATTTCATCTCTCATGGTATGCTGCTCTTACAGCATTGATTAGGTACTATGAAACATAAATCTCTTTGCCAATACACGAACACAAAGACTTGACTTCCATGTGAATAAAAACAAATTATATACCTCAGCATTTTGTCACATCCTCAGATGTAAACAAAACCAGTTTAGAACAATAGGAACAATTCAGATCTCAGCATGCAAATTGCTTTCTGGTTAATGGCAATGTATTTCAGTGAAGTTTAGTCTCAGGATGTTTTTCTGTTAAATAGAATTGCATTTATGAAGTATTTTGGCCTGACAGAAGTAGGGGAATCACTTGCAAGGACTAGCTGGACCACCCGTCTACTGGCTGAAATTGTAATAATGTTTGCAGTGCCTGTCCTGAGTGTATTCTGCTTTTGTTAGTACAGAGTGTAACATAAGAGCATTCTAGTTAGATTTCTGTGGAACAATATTTTTTCAAAATAAACTTATTACTAAGTGAGACACAGAACTGCCCACAGACTGAAGGAATTTCTTCCCTTTGCACACATCTAATTTCTTCCTTACTCCCCTTGCCTTGTATGAAAAACTTCATTTGACCTCAGTGAATTCCATGGGGTTTGGCTTGGTTTTTTTCCACTGTCTGTATCTAAATACATCCTAGGTTCATGTATTTACATGAGCTAATACAATTTTTTCATCTTTGCTTAAATTTGAGAATCTAGATGCCTGGGGTTATTTCCAGGTCTACTTTGGGCTGTTCTGTTGAGTAAAGGTCCCAAATGATGGAGGAGACTCTATGCTTTTTTCCCCCTCTTTTCCCATCCCTCAGGGTCTCTATTACTTCTGGAAACCTTTCTGACTTTGACTACCTCAACTCTATAACCCATAAATATGGTGTAATGAAAATTTCTTATTATCATTCTTTTTTCTTGCCTGTTATTTTTTAAACAAATTACTTAGGTTCTTGCTCTAGATTTCTCAGTGTGACCTCCTGCATGTAAATGTTGGTGTGGCTCCTTTCAGTGCCTGGCTGTCAGTTCTGTTGTCTGTTGTACTGGTGCAGGGTGCGTTCAGGCATGTTTCCAACCAACAGGAGCCCAACAATCAGTGTAGGTGGGGAGGGAAATGTCTGGGCGAACACTGTGGTGATCTTCCAAGCTGTGAAGATAAGCACATAGAGGCTGTTGCACTGTGTACTCTGAGGCTGCAGTGCTCAGCAGGTTTAACCTTCCTGGTTAGTGTATCCCAAGGATTGTGGGGGCACAAGGCATCTGAAAATGCACATAAGCTAAGGCTGGTGGAAACTTATCACTGGGTGAATAAAATAGAATGTTGAGTCAGGAATAATCTTTTCTATCTTCATCAAGTGTTGGGTCAGGCATGATGGATTGTGGAACAAGTCCTCCCAGTTCTTGTCATGCAGAGCATCTTAGGCTGCAGCCTTTCCTTTATGAAATTATTTGACAGTAATAAAAATGGGTTTGGGGTTTTTCTGTTGCTGGCATTTTTCTGTGTGTGTGTTGTGGTTTTTTTGTTTTTTTTTTTCCCAGGCAATATTTGTTTAATATATTGCAAAACTTTCAATCTGATGATTCTGTACTATTTATGCTTTCAGAAAGATTCTATTTTGCTTTTTTTTGTGCTTGCGTTGTAGAGAAAAATGTGTCACCAGGGAATAGATGTCCCTTATCTTGCTGCTCTATAACTGGAGTTTAGCTTGAATGAAATCCATAAGAATATAGATGAATGTTAACTGTATGTGCTGTAGCAGTGAAATAAATCACTTGATTATAGAGTGATAATTCAATATGGCATGCAGTCAAACAGTGCTTTTAAGAAGGGAGGAGCAGTATAAAGAGAGAATTACACACATTTAATGTAGTATTTCACTGTGACGGTAAATCAGTCCCCTTGTCAAATTACATGAAGAAATTTATGAGTATGTGCAGATCTAGGGCAATTAATAAGCCATCTTGTATAAGACTAAGATTGTCTAGTTTTGCACTGTAACCTTTAAATACAATTTATCTCAAAGGCATAATGCTTAAAACTTCTTTGATGTTCCTTCTAAAAGAAAATTTAGGAAGATAAAAAGAGAAATAGTGTCTTACTAAAAGACATTAGTTTACGTAGCATTCCAGTTGCTTAGAATTTAATTACCTTTCCAAACTGTTAATTTTTATGTAATCTTTCAATCTTTATGTTCTCTGCAGCACTATTTCTGTATTTGTGTGAAATGAAAGTTTTCAAGTACCTCACGAATGCTTTACAACCAAGTCCAATCCAAATAACTGGGAGCCATGAGAAATAGTCTAATCCTGTACCCTTACATGTGAAAGTCCCCTGTGAGTGACAGCCCTGTGTGTGCCAAATCCAGGTAGCCACAGGCAGGACCTCCTGGATGTCCAGGGAGTGAATCAGGCAATGCTCATACCTCAGCCACAGGCTCCTCCTCAGAAGCGTTTATAGCTTCCATCTGCAATTTCTTCATGAATGTGCACTGTGGAGTGATGCTCTCAAACAGCGCCTGAAAATTCCAAAGCAGAAAAAGGAATAATAAAAGAAAGAGTTGGAACTGAGCTGTACCTGAGCAAATAAAAAAATCTATTTTCTGTCTGGAACTTTAAAGGTATGAGCAATGTTTCTGGATGTCTTCTTGCTCTTGTTGGCTACATCTGCAACAATGCTTTCCCCTTGATAGTCCTTCCTGAAGCAGGTAGCTGGATTCATAGAGGGTTCACAAATTACTTGCCTAGTGCAAGTCTAGCTAGAGAAACAGTTTTCATGGAAAACTTTTTGGGATACACACAGACAAATGAATTGCTCTTTTTCTAGGAAGAAGCAGAAATGGCCATAATCCCCAAATTTTTAATATCATTAGCTATCCTCTGCTCTGTGACAAGTTTTGTCCTTCTTACTCCCGGGGACCATGGACACCAGCTGCCAGAAAGGGAGGGTAAGAGCAGGGATTGTTTGATAAGCTCGGCAACGTTGGTCTTACCCATCTGCAGCCCTCTGTGGAAAAGACATGTTTTGAATGCATTTCTAAATAATCTCCAGCCTGCTGCCATCCTGTTTGCTGTAACACTGCTACTTTGAAGTGCTCATCCATGTAAAATGAGCAGCCTGCAATGGGGCTGTGTGCTGTCTGAGTCTGTTACATGTGTACAACAGCACTGCTGTCAGTGAAGTCTGCATAAGGGTCTTGAACAGGGGTTCCCTGGGCTCTGCTACCACATGGCAGCTCAGGCTGCTGAAGGAGCTTTGCGTGGGCCTTTCATTCTGCAGGGTTTGTTCTTGGCACAGGGTGGCAATTTGCATAATCCAGCAGTTAGGATGGGGAGAATAATGTGGCTACCTGCTTCAGGTAGCAACCAGCAGAGCTTATTTTGTCTTTCCTTTGAAGGAGAAAATAGCTCTGAGGAGCTGAACAGCAAGGTCAGCTGGCACACCAGTGCACCTTTGCTTTCCTTGCACCAGACTGCCTGTCCTCTGCTGCCAGGGGCTGCTTCCTCAGGGATGTGATGAAGCTTTCACCAATTTAGCTGGTCAAGCTCAATGAAAAGAAAGAGGAGTCCCTGTTTCTCAAGAAAGTCCTTAGCTTTGCTGTGCTGTATGGTCACAGTTTTTGTTACCTGTCTTCAGCACCAGCTTGAGTCTTTTCCCTGGATGGAGCTTTACTGGGATAAGATACGTATTTGAAGAAATTCTTCAGGTTAGGTTAAAGGCAGGAATAGTTTTTGCTTGCTTCCAGGCTCTGTTATCCCATGGATTAAGGGTTCCCCATGGGTGTTCTCCAACTTTGTTAAAGATCTCACAGCAGGTACTTCCAGACATAAAAATCAAATCTAAAACTACAAATGTGAAGATCCTAGTGTTCCACTGGGGAGTCTCCATGTAGGAAGTTATCTTGTTAGGAATTTATCACTGAACATCATTAATCGTGTCTTTGGCACTAACCTCCATGGGGCACAGCCTTTGTGTTCAGCCCACATCACAAACTGCTGAGTAGGCAAAGGTGAAGGACTGAACACTGTTCTGTCTGAAAAGCATCTGACCTGCTGTGGAAATAGTCTGCTCTGGTTTAAAGTTAGCATTAATTTGGTTTAATGCCATTTGGCTCTTTTGTTTTAAAGAGTTTAGAGAAGCAAAGCTACTGATAAATGACACAGGAGTGATCATCTTCCTCAGAAGTATTGTTTAACTGGCAACATCTACAAACTAGCAGCTGACAGGAATGCTGGGGGTATTGCCTGTAACAACAGTATTTCCTGAAATGACATAATGTTTTCACTTGTGGCTTGTTTTTCACCTCTTCTCCCAGCTTCTCTAATTGCTTCTTGATTTATGGTTATTTCTCTCTTATTTTGTGACTGAGAATGCATTACATTTTTTCATCACAGAAGCCAAATAATAAGGAAAAAGTAGACGACTTGTACTTATCAAAGCTGCAGCTAATGTGCCTGCCTTCTCGGAAGTCAAACTGTGAACCAATTTGAACCTGATGGATTTAAAGGCTGTAATTAGTTTTCAAGTCAACATGTTTTGGGTTTTTTTTAACTTTAGAAATGAAGAAAATTAATTTGCTGCAGCTAGTTTTCATGGTGCCATGGCCACTAAGAATAAGCAATTTTTAGAGATCAAGGTGTTTACAGAATGAATTTAAAAATGGTTTAAAAAATAAACCACCCAACCAAACAAAACCAGATAAACTTCCATCTGTATCATATTTTATGACCCTCTTTAGGGGAAGGAGAAGTAAAGATTGTCCAGTCACAACCTTAACATCGACCACTTACCATATTAAGGTCTTCAGTTCCTCTATGTGTTATAAGAGTGCCAATAGTGATATAAATAGCGAAATACAGATTAACAAATTAATTTTTTTGTATCAACATTCTTACTGATTATTCTTACATGATTACTGGTAATTTTGGCACACTTAGTAACATGATGAGTGCTGAATGGAAGGCAAAGTTCTTTCTTGTCCGGAAAAATGTGTAGTAGTGTTGTTGTGGACTAGTCAGTCCTGATGACATTATATGAAATGAGGAGAAAGAGAAAAGCAGTCTTGCTTTCAAAGGATTGCTGGTGACCTTTAAATTAGGGCTGGGAGTCTCATCATGAACTGCAACTGCAGGATACATGACTTACTTCCCTTTCCGTCTGAATGGAAAGGTTGTTTTCACTGAAATTACCACTTATTACAGAAAGGTCATTCATATAACTGCATCTCAAGCAAGCAGAGTGATCTTGTTTATCTTAGCACAGTGTTTGCAACTTAAATTCTGTGGCTTTTTTTAAAAGATCAAGCTGTTGTCATTCTTTCATAACATGTTGCAGACAGACATGTTTGATGGGTGAGACTTTCAGCTGCTGCACATTGTTGCTGTTCACTCAAGTGGAATAATGGCAAAGTACACTGATGCAAGGTTTGGTGCCTTTCTAGAGTTGTTATTCAGCTGCTCCTTGTCCACTAGAAATCAATACTTGAAGACTGTGTTTTCTGGTGTTACTCTGCATGTGGTGTTGGATCTGCCAAGATTTTCTACATCATGTACTGCAGAGTAACTTAGGACTGCATTGTACATTGTAGTTGATGACTTGCACATAGTTACAGAAGTTACAGATGATGATTATAAGAGCCCCCCAAGTGCCCCTGGATTTCAGCATGACTTATTCATCAAACTGTTTGGAGACTTACTCTTGCACTAGATTTTACACCTCTGAGTTACATATGTAAAGAAACTTTTCCCAAGGCTTGGTAAAGGTATTTAGAAACCAAACTCAATGCAACAAAGAAGGTTCCCCTTCTGCAGAGGCCTTGCTGTCCACTGTCAGGAGCTCTTTCTTGCAAAATCAGAGCAGGAGGCACTCTTCTTCCCAGCTTACATGGGTGGCTGTGTGTGCATGTTCTTCCTCTGTAATATCTCTGTTAAAACATACTGATGTTGAGGAAGACAGGCATTTCAGTCCTAGTTTAGTGTATACCAAAAAACCAATTCAGCCACTGGAACATTATGGACTATGTGCGGGTAGAGGAGGAAGGGATCTGCAGGGACAGGTATCTGGAGTACCAGACTAGCCTGCCATAAAGGTGGAAACCAGAGTTGCTCACTTTAGTGAATTTTAACGTTTTATAATAATAAATAATAATTTCTGCCAGTGAGTGGCCGTGTGCCTTCATGCTTGATAGTGAATTGTTTCTTTAAGTGGTAACTGTCAAAATTCAAATCTTGATGATATTTTCTGGAGCTGTAACTTGCAATATTCTGGTGATTTCTTACACCTTCTATTACAGGAGTATAAACATTATACATCTGAAACTATTAGTAGATAAGCTCTCCTACATCTGTATTTCCAGTGTATACAACTGACATTATTCTATATTCCTGTCTTTGTCTTTGCTGTATGTTTTAAATTACGTTATTTATGATTTTATATATTTGAAAGGACTGAGGACTTTTAGCCTTGTTTTTGTCTAGAACTCTGCTGGCGTTTTTATGCTGTTTTAATCAAGTGGGTAAAAATACTGAATTCAGGACAGTGTTTATGTGCTACCATGTAAGCTAGCTATAAAAATTAGTTACTATCTTTCGTGGAAAAGCTAGAAAAGTATTTTAGACAATATTTAAACTCTTAATAGTTGGTTTTTTTTACATGAGTTTAAGGTCAAATCTTGAGAGTCAGAGAAATAGACTTGATATAGACTAAACTCTTCACCTAGAGCTTCCATTTGTTTTTATTTGGCTCGTAAGAGGAATATATATGGATTTTTTACATCTTCTAATGTCTTTTTAATGTCAATTTATTACTGTACTTTTTTAGAGCTGAAATTGTTATCTAAACATCTGCCAAGAGATGGCAGTGCAATGCTGCTCAGCGTGCTGGATTAAACGGCAGGAAAATCTAGTAGCTCTGACAATAGGGAGCCTGCTTCCCTGGCGTTCTGGGTGCCTCGCCTAGAACAAACACACACATTTGTCAGCTTGCTTCCTACATGCTGTGAGTTGAGAAAATAAGCAGAAGTTGAAACGATTGCCTGTTCATCTCTGGAAAGCTACACTTCCATCCTGCATGCAGAATAGTTTTCTAAACTGTTGTGGTTTCTCAGTCTCTCTCCAAGAGAAATCCAAAGGCAGCTCTTAGGCTGGCATCACTTCCAGCTTGGGTACAGCTGATGTAGATCCACTGACAGTAGCAATGCAGCACTGATTTGTTAGCTGTGGAATAGTAAAAAAAAGCAACCCCAAACCCTCAAGTATGAATCACATTGTATTTTTACTAGGTGCTGTGTATATGCAGTGAAGCAAGGCTTGTAGAAAGAGGTAATCTGTTATTTGTCAGACTTCCAAGAAAGGGCAGGCTTTCTGTTATGAAGCACTTCTTCAAATCTCTGTTGTACATCCAGACATTCTAGGCATACCAGAACACAGAGCTGGTAATACTGAAAAATTTGTCTTCTGAATACCAAAGTGTTTCTTGGAAAAGACATGTGGGAGATCAGAGCGAGAGCTGCAGAGTGCTCCCTTTCCCTGTTCGTACTGAATGGACTTAAAACAATGTCTGAGAGAGGCTTCTTTGTTCTGTTTTTTGTGAGTTGACCCTTTCTCAAGAGCTTTCTGCTGTTGCAGGTGAAAGACCTGGAAGTCTTGAGGATGAGGCAGAAAAATACCATGATCGGCTTAATTTCCTTCCTCTCCAGATATCAGTGTATCTGGCCCCGTGATACTGGCCCAACTTGTGTGAGAAGCTGGTTTTCACCTGACCCACTTGTGCCTGTAATGCCTTGGCTCTTTTCCAGGTTTCTGAGGCTGGTGATAATGAGCTCAAGTCTGTTTAAAACCATAAAATTCTGGTGTGTATGTTGAGGTGTCAGGTTGGTTGTATTCCTTCTGAGCTTGGAGAAAGGCTGTGTTTGGAGTAGGTTTACATGGAGAATCTGCCATGTTTGGCTGCATGTGGGAGATGATGTTAAATGTCACATTCCTGGTTTCATCAAACTGCTTCAACAACTAGGGCCCCACCTCAGATTAACCTTCTAGTGTTTCTAAAATACGTAAGTTTGTAGTTCAGAATATGAAAAGTAAATAAAAAGCACTCTGAGTTTGTTTTTTTGTTGTTGTTTGGGTTTTTTTTTTTAGGGGGGGGATTGTTTGTTGTTTTTTAAAAATATTATTATTTACTAAAGCACACTTAAGCCGCAATTAAGATTTTAACTTGGAGGGTGGGGGGGAAGACAACGCAAGTACCACTTGAGGTAGGCACTGCTGAACACTACTGCTTTCTGTGGGCAGAAGCAACCAGCTTCTAACTGAATTGTTCCCCCTTATACATTTACTGGGGCTTTTTTTCCTTGTCAGTCTGAAGAGGCTCCCTCTATTCCATAGGATGTTACTTCTCTAAACAATAATATTTTATCAGGACAGTTTTCTAATATTCAGCCTAAATTTTTTTTTTTAATATAATCCAACACTCTTAGCTAATGTCTCCCTTACTGTAATAAGTACTTCATACTCTTATTCCAGTTTCCTACCTTTTTCTGATTTGTATTTTGCATTAATGCAAAGGGGTTTTTTTACCTATTGCACATCTTGTCTCTACATTTACTTTGTTCCTTGCTCTAAAAGCTGTAGTAAATACTGTAGTCATTTCAAAGACATTCTTCATTTGAAGAAAATGAAGGACTAACCTTTGTATTTTAATGAGTGAACAAAGTTTATAACCATTTGAAAAATAAACCTAAACTCACCTGTCCTTCATGGTGCTGGCATTGGTGTTAGTGTTAAAAAGGCATGACTGCAATCATGGTCTCAGTGGTTGTGTCTCAGTTCAGCTATATTGCAGATGGCTGGCAGGGAGTCCCAAAGTTGGTTCTTGGCCAACAAAATATAAGAGTGGGAAGCTAAACTCTGAACAAAAGTCCAGAGAGTACCAGACCTTCATCTGTCAGCAAAGCCAGTGGA